CCCCCCCCTCTCTCTCCCAAAATAATTTATATATTTAGAAAAGTGCGGTGTCGATGTTTAAGCCCAATTACGACCGCCTCCTGGGGCGAGAGGCAAGTCTAGGTAAAAGCGAACGTAAAAAGGAACAGCATTACGCCTCACTCCTTTGAAAGAAGTAATCATAATTACACACTTTTTATGATTAATGTAAATTCTTAAACTAAATAACTATTATTAAAGAAAATATACAGGAATATGAGAAAAATATATCGCTGCTATGAGAAATGTCGAGCAATTACTACTTTTTTCTTTTTCAAGGGCAAACAGATGGTTGTGTTCAAAGAAAAGAAAGACACATAACATCAGGAAAATATTATTGAAAGCACACCAACTAGTGCATATATTACCACCCCTTTAAATAAAAAAATACTGTAACTTTAGCATGCCTTATGAGTTTTGAAGATATTGAGACAGCCACCGAAATCCATCTCCGTACCCGTATTTCTGAACGATACTGCACATAAAAACCTCGAGAGGACGGACATTCGGGTCTGTAACCTTGGTTGTTTTACCAGTTCGTAGGTTGGTGAGCCCGAGCGCGTACGTAAGGTCATCCTCCGAGCACGCCTGAATAATATCGATTTTATTCCCAAGAATCAAAAATGGCGTGCGAGAAAGTTCCTCGGAACGAATTAAATTATCGAGTTCAGTTCTCGCCTCCTCAAAGCGATCCCGTCTAGCTGCGTCAACGATAAACACAACACCATCAACCTTTGTAAAGTAGTCCTTCCATAAACGTCGAGCTTCGCTGTGGCCTCCCATGTCGATAGTTTTTAACTTGATGCGACCCAATGTCAGCTCCTCGACGTTGGGGTGGAACGTAGGACGATAAACGTGTACCTGATCGGTAGCCAGCTTACCCAGGAGTGTAGTTTTACCTGCATTATCAAGTCCGAGAAACAAAATCTTCCCAGTTTTGTTGGATAGGCCAAGAAAAGCTAGCCAATCCCAAATCCAAGAGAGCCAACCCATTTTCCCTATCTTAACAAGACAAAAAGTTTGTTTATTTCAGTGATAGAAATGAAGTAACTTACACTGATGGAAAAAATAGAGAAATAAGAAAAGGAAAAATGAGGTTGAGGTCATGTGAAATACTATGGGAAGCCCATAACTCAGGTTACTATTTTGTTTAAAATCCGGAGATCGCGATGGGTACGGCTGGAAGCGAGGGAGGTGCCTCATAAATAACAAAAAAAAGTCTTTAGAAAGCGAAAGAGAGAGAGAGAGAGTGAATTCCACAAATTCAGGAACAAATAGATTTACTGTCAAGTGTTTTGCTCTTCACGTCAGGATCTCAGAGCGCACTACAACTCGTTCTCATCATGATAGTGTGGAAAACTGGAGAAACATACAATTATAAAAAGAAAATCCTAAACTTCACTAAATCTAGACAAAAAGGGAAAAGAGCGATTTGAGTTTCCCTTAAAGAGAGGGAGATGAACACAAAGAGACATTGAAGGGGAAGGAGGGGCAGACTTCCCGTTGGCCCCCTCTCTTAGTCGAGATCGCATTATCCAAAACAAACAAACAGTAACAAAGTGGTAAACTACCCTTTCCTATCACTCCTTAGACGTGCCGAGGCGGCGGACGCGGACCTGAAAAGCCAGCGAGTCGGCGAACATCCGCCCCTTCTTCGTGAGGCACTGCCCGGACGTCTTGCCGCCGCTGACGAGGCCGAGCTTGGCGAGGGACTTGCAGGACCAATGGAGGAGACCGGTGGCCGCGCGCACCATGTGCTCCGGCCGGCTGCCGTAGTTCTTCTTGCTGGAGAAGCGCTTGCTGAGGCCGCCGTAGCCGACCCCCGGGCGAAGATAAATCGCGCGCAGGACGGCAGCGCAGCGGATAAAATACCAGTCCGGGTTCTGCGGGGCCCGCTCGCGTCCGCAGGAGGTTTTGACGAGCTCCGTGCAGGACGGGACGAAGAGGTTGCCCTCACGCTTGAAGTGGCGGGCGGCCGTCTTGATCCAGTGCCACGCGCTGACATCCTGGAGGGTTGCGCCCTTCTTCTTACCGATCCGGCGAATCTTGCTGGAGGTAGCGGCAACCATGGTTCTTTTTCTTTCTTTTTCCCCTTGGTGTGTAGTTATCCTTTGGAGGGAATGCGTAAGGGAAGAAGGAATTAGAGACAGGTCAGAACACACATAGAACTTTGAAGGAAAGAAAGCGCCGACAATGAGCACACAAGACATGACTTTATTTTGTGCAAGAGGTTAAACTCGGATAGCAACAATATACAAAAAAAACACCATACAACAACGACCAGATTCAATAATATGTACCTTGAGGGCTAGTACGCCTACTCGAAAAATTCCCCACGCTTGATCACCCCCGCACCGCTGTTAAAACGTGTGATGAAGTCATCATCCGAATTGAAAAAGGCCTCAATTGCATCGCGGTCATTCTGATCCAGACAAGAGGAGCTTTCCTGGGATAAAATTTTGGACAAGTCAGGTGAGCCATCCTCCTGCGCTTTCAAATCCGCGCACTGCGCCCGTAGCTCTGAAAGCTCTAACAGCAATTTCATGTAAAGTGCTTCTAATTGAAAATTTTTCATCTGAAGAGCCTATTCACCTAAGCAAAGCAATAGAACCGTTTTGTTTTTTGAAGATTTATCATACTTTTGAAGCAATACTATGGAAAGGGTTCAAGAGAAAGCGAGAAAAGAATTTAATGCATGCCACCCCCCACCTCCAAAAATAGAAAGGATGCCTTTGGGCCACATTAGAAATAAGGAAATTCAACTTTAAAGAAAACATTAATGTAGAATCTGAAGCAGAATGTTTACGTAAAAACTCGAAAATCAGAAAAGAAAGCAGATTATTCAGTAAAAATGATAAACCTGTCGGGGTAAACTCTTGAAAAAGCTCCGAATGGGTTTTCTGTACAAAAGGCGTTCGTCAAGAATACTTCATTTCCCATTGAGTCCATTAAGTGTAGCCCTAGCGCACCTTTCAGTGGTTTGATCGAACATGCTTCAAAATCTTGTAAGGTCCCCCATACGCTGCACCAAAAATTGCTGGCAGCAGACTCCAAGCGCAGATGGTCTTCGATGCTATGCTCAAATGGCTCGCCCGTCCTCACATTAAGGGGGGTGAACTGTCGAAATATATAAAAAGACCGCCCTAGAATCTCTGAATGTGAAACTTCTTGGATTTCTTCGAGGTTCACCACACGACAGATGCTTCCACGATCGTTGACCATCTCCACCGATACGTCGCTGTTAAAAAGCTCAAAGGACGTTGTAGAATCCATAAACTTAAAGCGCAGTTTCTCTTTTAAATAAGTTTGTAGAGAATAGTGCCTGTAATCGACATCAGACAGCCAAAATGGTGAATCATAAACTTTTGCCTTCTGAATCGCGTTGAGCCGTTCCAGGGTTTCCTTTTCTCGGGTTAGCGCGAGGCCTCTACAGGATAAAAACGGCGCGTTCTGATCCACCTCGCTTGCGATATCGCCCCTCGTGGGGCTGATAAAGCAGCACACGCGGCCATGCGCAAGGCAAGCCAGGGTCAACGATGAAGATGATAAAGAGTAGGGCCGCGCAAAGAAAGAAGGATGGACGGTGGAGCCAGTGGCCTCGCCTTCGTCGAGCCGGAGGCAGGTGCCGAGCTGCCGCTCCTGCCTGGTGGTGAAGTACTCGTAGGTGCGACACTCTAAGGCGGGGACGGCCGTTGCAAGCTTTTTCCTGAACCTCGCCGAGACCCAATCCGGCGCCTCCTTGCCGAAGACGTCCACCAGACGCCACATTGGACAAAAGGGAAAGGGAGAGGGGGTCGTCACAGTTGCCTGCCACACACTTGGTATGGGGTTATATCTAGTACTTGCTTCCTGTCACAGTTGCCTGAATCGACGTCCAGGCTCAGAATAGGCTATAGCATCTAAGAAATGTCTAGACCACGATATCAAAAAGGGGGGCAATAACCTCAGTATTTGATCCTTTTTTCCCATTTTCGAATATGGGTGAAGTAACGATCTCACCCTCCTCAAGTGAAGGCAAAGTGACAAAAAAAGACGGTATCACTCATTATTTTAGTATGTATATCTGATAAAAATGTGCTTATTGTGTATAGAGTATATCATTTAGTTTTACTATAGGATTTAATAAAGCCCTCAATCAGTAATACTATTCAAATGAAAGAAACCGAGTCGTTCGAAATTATTGAGTTTGTGGTATAGCTCACCCTCAGGTGATTCCTGCAGAGCTTGTACCTGTTCATCACCTCCATCGTCTTTCTCGTGCTCTTCAGGTTTCGAAATTAGACAAACCCGTAGCCATGCGAAAGGCTGGTTCGTCTATCGTACATGATACAACCTCCATCCAGATGATTAAAGCGCAAAAAAAGCTCGTACAATGCGTCCTTGATAACATCCAGATCTAAATAATTAACTAATGAACCGTTTTTAATATGGCTCGTCGTTTGGTAAAAACATCGCAGGTTACCCTGTTGTTGTTTTTTGTGTGTGTGGGGAGGGGAAAGGAATTTCTGATAGAGATCTGAGGATGCTGTCCATACGTTCGCCTTTGAAGAGCTATCCTAAAACGTTGTGCTCGGGGTAGCCACGTAGACCGGGTTCCCCTGTATCCCGATATGGACCGACACCATCGGCTTCTCTGCCTGGAGATGTTAAATGTTTTGCGGAGGGGGAATAGACGTCAAGGGGAAGTAGGATGAAATGGACTGAAGTGGTTGACACAAGCGGGTAGCCTAGAGTAAGGGTATTCTCAGATATTGCAATACCTTCACAGTAGGATAAAACATTCTTCACCCGATCTTCACCAGTACACTGAAAATGTAATGAGTAAGAAGCAAAAAAAAACTGGCGGTAAAAAAAATCAATACGGAACGATGCGAAAAATAGATACTTAGTGTTTTTAGTTATCGGTAATGTAACAGTTTTGTTACGTAGTGAGGAAATTTATTGGTACAGAAAACGTTTAAAGAGAAGCCATAGAAATTTTGCAAGTGGACTTCATATCAGTGCTGAAGGATTTTCTTGAAAAATGAAAACATATTTACACCAATAGTGAAGATGGTTAGAAAACAGGTGAATTATAACAATAAATCAAGGTAAAATATAAAGAGTATAATAGCAGTAACCTATAAAGAAAAAATGATAAAATACGGTAACAGTTAAATGTCAATGCACTCTATGCATGTCATCGAAGATGCATTTTTGCTCAGATGCAGTTAGAAAGTGATCAAGGAGCTGAGTTACCTGCGATTCGCTTACATAACAGTTATACTCCAGAAGCCGCAAGATGTATCGCTCAAACTGAACAGATGCGGAAAGAATTTTTCGGCGATGGAAATAGGAAAATGGGAGCAGGTGTGCCATGTAGTTCAGCGAGACGCTGAAGTCAAGGTGCCACTTTAAGGCCAAGGAATACACAATGAACAAGATGTGAATGAGATAATCGGTTGATAAACGGAATGTGTCCTTCTTTCTGTCTGAGGGCTCGCAAAAGCCTGTTTTGGCGAGAGTTTGCTGCACGTAATACATGAGCTGAAGCCTGTCTATGAGGCAAAAAGCTATAATCCAAGAAAACGTGTCGAACATATCATTGGCGAGGTAAAAATGGAATATAAGCTCCTTAACGCCGTTTTTCGTGTTATACTCGGAAGACCACACATGGTTTTTGACACCAAATTCGAAGTAGCGCGGTGGATCCCGCTGGAATTCCTCAGTGCTGTTGATCACGAACGACGGCGCTCCAGCTTGTGAAAATGACAAATAGCTCTGCAGAAGGCGTTCCCAGAGCAATAAAATGGAATTGGCTCCTGTTTCACCTTTCACTCGCAGAAAGTAGATTGAGGAACCACATTTGTCATCTTTCTCTGCGTCGGTGGAATCAGCTTTCAAAAGACGTGGCATCCCTTTGCGGAAAGGGTCGACAAATCTGAAATGTCAAAAAAATTCAGAACTTGCCACGCGCGCTTAAAACATGGGAAAATCAGAAAAAAAAGATATACCATTTAAAATTCATTTTGATACTATAACACAAGTTTTGAGTTACTTTTATGCATTTTCTGAATATATTATATCGCCCACGTATTTTTTAGGACCCCACTAAATTCATTTACATTAGTGTCAACATAAATGTTGTATTTTACATTAAGGCAAAACCGTGTAGCTAACAAGCATTAATCGAAGAATGATCACAAAAAGAGTGAAACAAAAAACTTATCTTTTTGCACTATGGCGACTAAGGATGGCTTCGAGTTCTTTTTGGCGTTGGGTAAGGGCTTCTAACTTTTCTGCCTCGGATTTTGCATCTCTCTCTTCTTGATCTCTATCTTCATTTGCATTGCTTAAATCATTCAGCAGAGGAGCCAAATGCTCGTTTTCGCTTTGTTCAATTCTTTTTATCTGAATCCGCATTTTTTCAATTTCTCTAGCGATTTTATCGGCTTTTTCCTTCTCCTGCTGAATTCGCGTGCCCAAGCCAACCTTCTTAATCTTGTACGAAGATATTTCAGCTGTCAACTCATCCCCCGTGCGCTGGAATACGCTCTCCTCGGCCTCACATATGACGCGTAATCGCTCTGTATTCTTCTCTAAGTCGAAAATATTTCGCTTCATTTTTTCCGATATAACTCGAGTTTCTTCGGTCTTCCTCAGAAGCTGCTCCTTTCTGTCCTTAATGATCCTCTTTTCCATGTCGATCTTCTCTTGCGTTTGAAAAAGCTCCATCTGTTTGGGCTCTAAAACCTCTATTTCGTCCTTTAGTTTGGGAATAATCAATTGTTTGTTGGCCTGCGCATTCCGATCAAGGCAGGCTTTTATATTCATAAAACATTTGTACGAAAAATCGTTGTAGGTAACATCTAGATGGTCGACAGACGAACAACCACAGAGGCTTTTATAAAGGAGGTTGCCCGTCATAGTAGACATAGTATTCCGCTTCAAATCAAGCTTACGAAGTGTGTTGTTCGAAACTAGGGCAGTGGCAAGAGCCTTCCCACCTTCATCACCAATCATGTTGGAAGAAAGATTCAAAGAAATTAAGGCCTTGTTCACCGCTAAACCGCGCGAGATCTCCTTCGCGCCCCGGTCCTTCAGTTTGTTTTTGCTAAAATTCAAGGATTTTAACGTAGTATTCACAATAAGTGCATTTCCAAAGTGCACTCCAACGTTTTCTCGGATTTTACAATTGCTCATATCGAGCGTGCTAACAGACTTGTTCTCCATAAGACCCTCCGCTATGAAATTTGCCGACTCAGCAAATTCGTTAGATGATAGATCTAGCGATCGCAAAATGGAAGCGTTGGGTAGGACCTTGCCAATAACCTTCGCCGAATGTTCACCAAGGCCGTTGTTCTTGAGGTCTAAGTGCTCCAACAAGCATTCACCATTTCGTATCGCTGAATGAATGGCCTGAATGATGATGTGGCCACCAATATCTGTTAGGGCATTTCGTTCGAGGGAAAGGTGAACGAGACGACCACACTCCAATATCTCAGCGAGGATTCGCGCGCCATCACGGCCTAGATTATTGCTATTGAGATTCAGATGGGTTAGGGTGGTGTTATCAATTAGGCTAGATTGAAAAAACGAGAGACCACTTGCCCCAAGTCCATTGCTGCCCAAATTGAGCCTTGAGAGCACTTTGTTGACCTTGAGAAGTTTGCCAAGCGCCTCCGCCCCTTGGCTTCCGATGTGATTAGCATTCACTCCTGACTTAGCGCCCAGATCCAGGGAAATAACAGTTTTGTTGTCTTCCAAAGCGCTTGCAATAGCAAAGACTCCTTTGTAGCTCATATCGTTAGAGCTCAGTCCAACATGTACGATGGTTCGGTTTACCTGTAAAAGCTCCCCGATGGATTTAACGCCATCATCTCTCAAGTAATTGTCGCTCAAATCCAGAACACTGTACGTTTTGTTGTTCGACAGAATGCATTTGATGACCTCAGCGCTTGCCGGTCCCAGACCACTCTCGGGAAGGGAAAAGATGTTGTCTTTACAAGTGCTGCTAATAAATTCCATGAACCTCACCTCCCTCTCCCACGACGGGGCCAAGTCTCTATCAATACACTTGGCCCGATAAAGGAGAGAGAGATGCTCGCTGGTGATATTGACTAGGCTTCGTTTCGATTGCTTGAACGCTCCATCTGAATAGAGATCATCAAAAGACACAAAATTGGCTATGTAATGCAATCCTTTTGGAAGTAGAGTGGGCAATTCCGTATCCAAAGTCGTCTGATCTCTTAAAAGCGTTCTGCCTTTGGAGGCTTTGTAATTGTAAAATGCTTGATAATCGGATTTAGTCACAAAAGTTGGATTGGAAATAGCCTGTTTTCCTTCGTGAGAACCGAGTATCGAAGGGAAACACAAAAACGAGGCTTGTCCTGATGAATTGTCCATCTTGTTTACTATTCTTTAATATTTAAGAAATGTAAATATTTTCGATATTGAAACGCATGTTAAGAAAACACAAAGGTAAGAAAAAAAGTAACATTTTCAGTGATTGGGTTCGTCATTCGTATTGCGATGCTTTGAAGCAATTAGCCTGTGTCCTTTTCAGTTTTGTTCAGCAGATATAAAAAGAAAAAAATAATAATAATACTTAACGTTTATTTGATCTGTATATCCAGTTAACACTTAAGCAAGAAATAGGATGAAATTTATTTAATATTGATGTCAATTAAAAAGAATATCCTTGCGAAACCTTCATCATTTTTTTTTCATATTCAAGACGTCAAAAACATAGAACTCCTGCGCGCTGAGGTTTATTTCAGATATGTGTTGCACAATAAATCTTCCGAGCGGATAGTCCTCCTCTCGCTTTGGTTCTTTTGCACCACAACATCCAGCGGTACAGACTCAATTTCCATAATTAAAGGGTCCAGAATGTACACAGCTGTCAATATATCCCATGTGTATTACTCATCCCCAGTGTGCATCATGTCAATATGGAAATATTTACTCCACGTAGACCCTACAAACTGAGAGATGTACAAATCTTGTGCCCCATATCGCTAAATCGGCTCTGGGGCGATGGACACGGAGTTGATGGCGCTGAGGGAAAACAAGGCGTTGCTCAAGCCCGGGTTCGACAGGATGGTTCAGGCAGCGGGCAGGTCTCAGTAGATGCTCTAGTTCGCTGTCCTGTCGGTTCTGTCCTCGACGAAGCCATTCCCCTTGACATCGACCCCGTCATCTATGAAGACGCAGGCCTTAACCTTGTAACTGAACTACAGGCCGTAGCGCTGCACACGCCACACCATGTTGGGCAGGAGCCCCGTGACACAAAAGCTGACCGGCTGAGGCAGCTTCCGCACGAGGCCCTTGTGCATTGGCCTCTCCTGCTCCCACAGCCCCGTGGACGCCCGCCGTGTGTATAAGCCAGATCAGTTTGCCGGAGGCCTCTTAAAGCGTGGTCGATAAGGTAAACGGCATCCATCACGATCGTGTGGATCACTTTGGGATGCTACGAGTTCGCCAGGGGTAACACCAACACATCTGTCGTGGTCAAGAATTACAAGCTTTCGTTGAGACAATAGTATATCCCTGACAAGTAAACACTAAGCTCTTTGTCTCAAATTCGATAGTACTCACTTTTTTGGTAAGACACTTAGGGGAAATGAGGGAGAAAACAAAAGAGAAAATAGCTAATGTATTTCCCTTTAGTGAAAACTGACAAGACACAAATGGTTGAAGTTGCGTCGATTTGCTCTCTCCCTATCGCTCTGTTTTCTTTACACGCATCGTCCTTTCTTATTATGACGACACGCCTCGGTAAGGCAGAAATTCAACCTCTATATTTTGCGGAACGTACTCAGTCAATAAATTGTGGTAACGCTCTGGTGTGATGTCACGCTTGAACTCGGTGACGTGTTCCGCCCAGAGATGATAGCGCCCGATCTCATACCACATCAACCCTATAAAAATAGCTAGTAACCTCCTGTTTGTCCGAGAAGATCCACTGTGAACTACAAGACGGCACGCACAGCCAATCGTGCCCAACGCAGATGCAAGGAATCCGCATTGATGCCCCACCAGTCCATTGTTGACTTTGTGTGCTTTGACAGAATTATAATAAAACGTAGCTAGCAAAAATAACCCAAACCACCACTTTTCATTATTGCGGGTTTTCATAGTCAAGCAGCCTAACGTACATGCACCAAAACAAAGTGAGGCCAATGTCAGTCCGCTTCGGGGAGCCACAGCAGATGGTTGAAAAATGCAGATAGACCCTAACAGAGGCTCATAGCTTCCAGTGTAATGATAACCACGTTTGGTCACATCTTCATCCTGGATATTAGCATAGAGTAGCTTTCTTAGAGCAAAAGACGCACTCATTTTTGCTCAACACTTTTTAAAAATCAAGGTTTCACTCGGAAAAAAGGGGATACAAAGTAAATGGCACTCAAGATACCAATTTTTGAATTCTACTCATCTGTATTGAGTTTTCAAAACTAAATAGCATCTTTTTCAGGAAAAATTAGAGAACTAAACTCGCTTCAATTTTTAAGCGTAAAAAAGGAAAACACTCAAACTTTTTTTTAAGGGCTGATAAAAACAGCAACCAGAACATTCTCACTATTCAATCAATAAATATTAAAGAAATGTTAACTTACGACTGTTGCTTTAGTTGATTCTTTTATTTAAAATGATATATTTTTACGGTAGAAACCCCAATGCAGCTATTATGGTTGTCTTTTGAAACAAAAAAAAGAACTAACTTTCACTTTTCTTTATTGAAAAAGATAAATCATACCACATTTCACTTCTGAATAAGAATATCTTTCGTAGTTTGATATGCAACCATCATTAATGCACCAGAAGGTGCCGTATACAGAATTCTAGGTAAAACACCAGCAAAAATGCCGCGCATTCCTCGTTTTGAAATGAGATCCCTAAGAACTGGGGAAAAGCCTTGGCCATGTCCAAGCTGTAGATGGGTTTTGATCGTGTCCATGGGGAAGGAAACTACGGCAGCGCCGGCTCCCGCCAAAAACCCGGCCGCTAAATAATCAAATGTAATATGATCCTCCTCAGATTTACAGGAGCTGTTATTAAAAATGGAAAAGAAGGCCTCGTACACTAACCAATAGGTTGCGCTGTGAGGAACATTCATTAGAACAGTTGTTGGCAAGGATACATACATCGCACGCAACCCTTCACACTTTAGAATATACTTACAACATCTAAAAGACGACTTAAAATTCCGAGTCCGGTCCATTTGCATACGCTGTTTAATCACATCAAAAGGCGTCGAGACAGTGTCATGGGCGATGGTTGCTATACTCGCTGACATCGCAACCCCCACATTCGAATCCCCCGTAATGCGTTTGAAAGCCTCGTAGGCGCCAAAATAACTCGCATGCGCTGGTAACGCTGAAAGAAGGATCGGCATGCAGCCGCGGTACATATGCCATATCCTCTCACCTTTCCATGCACCGCAAAAAGCATCACTAATCCCACATATAGAGCCTGACTGCACGCGAGTTTTAATGGTATCGAAAGGAAACATAATGACGTGTTCAGCGAATCCGGCGACGGCGCCTGCTATGAGTTCACTTACAGAAAAAAAAAATGTGTTCCCTACACTCTCATCTGCTGCCGCAGAATAAATAGGCACATTTGTTGCCATTTATATCTTATCTTAATAGAAAAATACTGTGATAGTAAATGTATTAAAAATAGTAAAGCAATAACAAAAAAGAATGAGTTGACCAGTCAAAAAAAATTCCAGTTCTAAAGGAATATTAGAATCATGTGGGTCCTATATTGGTATGCATTTATTCGTCCAACTGTGTGAATGTACACATAGCTCCCCTACCTCCCCTTTTCCCCAAAACCTACGACGATTTGGTGGGCACCCGCGAGATGACGCCCATTTCGCCCAACACCGCGACCACCTTCCGCGCGGGGATAAACCCGGAGACCCGCGACCCGTCCCGCGTGTTGGAGGTGAGGTGGAGGCCGACGACGAAGTCCCCGAAGGTGTCGACCACCGGCGCCCCGCTCGACCCCGTCGTGCTGACCGTCCCCCGCGCGAGGCATCCCGCGGCCCCGCTCTCGACCACCACCCCCGGTGAGACCACCGGCTCGTGGGGGGGCTTCAACGAAAGCCACACCGTCGAGACCCGGGCCCGCAGTGGGGGCAAAAACCCCCGAAGCGTTGTGAAGTGCCCCACCGCCCCGCCGAGCCAGAGCACCAGGACGTCGTGCGCGCTGCTCTTCGCGGCGTACTCGACTGCCACCCAAGTCTGCGGCCGCACCAGGACGCTGAAGTCTCCAACGTCGTCCTTGAGGACGTTGTAGTGGTGCCCGGCGGAGATCACGAGGTCCGCCGCGATCGCCACGCAGCTCCCCAGGAAGGCCTCCTTCCAATACAGGGCGTAGACCGATTTCAGCAGCGCCTCGGAAGGCCGAGCGTTCTGGAAGGGATCGTAAACCCCATGTCGCCTCATCTGCGTGGAAGATCTTCGTGGCTGCCATCCCGTGTGAATTGGCGATGGATGGGGGAGGGGTCACAAGAAGTTGGAATGGGGATTTTCACAGGAAAAAGAAGGAGAAGAAGAATTGGCGAATGATGGGTGGGAGATCAATGAAGCATGAGGCATGAACAAATAAACAACATCGCTTTGGGTGCGCCGATAAACCAGTAGTAAAGCTCAATAAATGGGGATGGGATAAATTCAAAAAAAAAAAAGAAAGAAAACAGAAACAATTTCACACACACTAAATAGCAACAAGCAAGTAAATACAAAAAAAAAATGAACTTGCACATACTTTACATTAAACCCATCTGATATACAACCTTTGTTTTTTTCTTTCTTGAGAGTAGACAAATCACGTCCTCCTCTCTAATAGGATCCTTCCATTATTTAGACTGCAGCTATTGTTGCTTTTCTTTTTTTTCTTTTTTTGACATGCTCTTCAATACTCGGGTGTTAACGCCTCTTGAGCTTGGACTCTTTAGCCCATTCCTTCATCATAACTGCTATTGAATTGAACTGCTGTGCAATCGATGGGTCATCGGCGTGCTGCTGACAGCTTGCCTCGAGCATCTTGATAACATCAAAAAACGCGTCGCTGCTCTCTTCATTGGCAAAAACCTGCTGAAAGACGCCAATGCAGGCTCCTTTTTTGCCCTCTATAAATTCCATATCGTTTTCCAGTCTTTCAAGAACGTCAAACGCCTTGGCAGCGTAGTAGAACGCGCTAGTTTTATAGCAGTCATTCGCCATAAGGCGTAAAATGCCAAGCGCCTCGCAGGTTTCCATCTTCAAATAAATATCCCACGCTTTTTTCGCGTGCTTATTCATAATATGTGAGCGAACCAGCCAACTTCTGTAGCAGAACTCGGACTTGATTTTTTCCGACTTTACTGCGATCAGGGATTCCTCGGCCTCCTCAAAGTTCCCGACATCTGCGCAGGAGATTCCGTACAGGTACAAAAAGGTATCATCCTTTTGAAAGTATGGTTTAATAGAGCGAAGATAAATCAAAACGTTGTTGAAATCTCGAATTAGAAAAAAGTATGATGCCATGCATTGACGACCAGGGATCGTATCGCACTCACTCTGCGCGGAGCCGACGAAGTGAAAGCACTCTTTGGCTACTTTTATATTATCCTGTAATTCGAGCTGCTGCCCCATGTAGGCATTCACTACGGCCCTTATAATATATTCCTGCGATGTCATCGGCGACATGTCCTTAATTAATTCATAGGCCTCGTTAATCTGATCCTGCCGGAGGTAGTAGATCACCAGGTTAAGCCGCGCTTCCGGAATGCCGGCCTCCAAGAGGGGCGGGAGAACCTGAAGGGCGCTCTCGCCATCACGGAAAACGACCAAATTGTGTTTTATGATATCGGACTCCACGTTGTACATTGAATGATATAAATCAATCAGCGTCTTCAGCTCCGATTCCGCGGACTTCCCGTTATACAGTCGATAATGATTGCAGGCTTTTAGATTAATGGCAATAGCGCTATTCGGGTAGGATTTCAGGTAGTTTTGCAAGATCTCCAGACTCACATCGTAGTAGTCGTTCTTGTAGTAGCACATCGCGAGGTAGACGTTGAGGGCAATATACTCCGGGGATTGCTGGAGGATGCGTTTGCAGATCTCAATCGCCTGTGGATAATGATTTCGATTGTATTGCGCGGCGGCGAGAGAAAGCTGATCCTCAACAGTAGACTTGAGCTGGTGGTGGTAGGACATCAGCTTCGCCTCGTCATGGGTTTTCTGCGCAATATGAAATAGCAGACGATTGCGGAGAGGGCATTCCGTCCCGCGCAGCGCATTTTCCTCCGCCTCCTCGTAGGAGCCCATCGCGAAATTACAACAGCCGAGGTAGATGTAATTCATCGGATCAAACCCCTCCCGCGTAAGAATTTCCTTATACACATCAATCGCCTTTTCGATATCATTCATGTGAAATGCGCAGTAGGCCAACCAGGCGTTGATATCCAAATTACCTAGCTTCTGCCCAGAATTCTTGAAGAACTCAAGAATGGTGGTAGCTTTAGAAAAATCTCGTCGTTGGAGAGCTTCTTCAAATTGATCGACTGGGGAATTCCGACGCGGAATGCTTTTTATCGAAGATTGTTGGTTCTTTCGAACCACACGGCCTGTTACCGAAAACATCCCCCTTGAGTCTCACTTTTTTTCTCTCCAGCTCTTAGACAAGCAGAAATGTTCTTCTTTTACTATATCCTATTATTTTTCTTCTGAATTGTAAAGAAACACCGAAGAAATCCTCAAACAAAATAAACTGATGACAAAAAAAATTAGTGAAGATAAAGGTGTCTCAATACATCCGTAGCATACAAATTAACTCGGAAAAAAAAGCCCCCAGCATTGATTTTTTTTGAAGCTTTTTCCCATTTTACTCTCTCAATTGCGGTTAGTGTTTATTCTCTGGACCTGGTAATAAACCTATTGTTTGGAAAAGCCTATAAAAGTAGCAACAACCAAAAAGCTGAAGTTACTATGGCACATTCCTTTGCGTTTTCAAAGCATCGCGTATTCGATTATCCGAATATATATTCATGCGTCCTATGCAAACGTACATAACGAATGGAATAAACAAAAGACCACAATACCTCCCAATAAGCTCATGATCTAAGATCCGTCGCATATTCATCCGAGCTCGCATTAACTCCAGGCGGCTTCTGATGCGGTTTCTAAGCACGCTGAATAATTTCATTTCTAGGGGGAGAATGGAAAGTTGAGGTGATTTTGTTAACTATTTCTGATTTTGGGGTGAAGATCTATCGCTTTGGTGAACATGCTGTACCCTTATCAAAAGCTATACGCAGGAGAAATCAATAAAGTACTGAATGAATTACTCGATTTAGTGTTTTGGATGCATATTGACGCTTCATCATCCGAAGCTTTCCAAAAAGCTCAAGTAACAAAAAATATTAAGGACTTTCTACAAACCAAGAAAGTCCTTTTTTATCTTTGGACTTTTTCTGCCTGCGTTCATGATAACAAAGGTGGGGGGGTAGGATAAGGTGGAGTGGAATGATGAATATATTGGAATCTGTTTCTTATAATATCTAATGCAAGTATCCAACACTTTATGCATAGATCCAATATAAAAAAAAAAAATGAATGGGAAAAAAATTCATCTGGAAAGGAAATTGATTCATCTTGAATCAAGAATCTTCGAATGAACGCAGCGCTCTGGTCCATCCTCTTCATAGCTTTCAACCCCCACGCACATCGATTTAAAGGTATTTAGTTGGGAGACAATCGACGCCCCCTCCACGGGTGCATTGCAGGAATTCCGCAGCCGCAGCTGAATCGGATCAGTTAAGGGTAGCGACCCCGAAAGCGCACGCGTAAGGGTGTCGTTGACGCCGAACATATCTGATGCCCCACCAAACAACGACCAATACGGGCAGTTGTGAAATTCGATAGAAAAACTTTGATAAATGCTCTGAAAACTATCCGGCAGGCTCACGGTTGAGTTGTACAGCAGACGGCGCCCCGCCTGGAGGGCGTCGTGGGGGCCAAAAGGCACGCGAGCACAACTCCCATCGGGCAATGTAATCTCGTCCACAAAACGGGAAAAACCGCTTTCGTTATCCCACTTTTCGTCATTTTCGCAATCGTGGCGACCTATCCAGCAAACTTGCGATTTCAGGGCGGTGAGCTCCTGCGGGAGGGGACCGACGGTATAATACCTCGCGAGCTCCTCATCCACGTGCGCGGCACCTATGGTTGGGTAAACTTCTGAAATGGCCGTGCAGGGAATCCCCTGATAAATTGGTGTGATGCGGACGGCGCTGAAGCCGATATCCACATTCACCCCGGAGACCTCGCCGGCGGCGAAATGAGCCGCCACGGGGGCGTAGCCCAAACACACCTTCTTCGCCCCCAAATACTCAAAACAGGTGGTGAACAAAAGTTCGCGGTCCCTGCGCGAAAAGAGAGGCTGCGTGAGGATAAAAAGCGTGAGATCATCGGCGGGGTCGACCTCCCGGGAGAGCACCTTGGGCAGGACCTCATTCCAGTCCGCCAGGGATACGTCCACGGCCTGCGTCATGGTTGGGGAAATATCATTGAAGATGCATTTATCCCCTTCCTTTCGTCGGTTGCGCTTGGAAGTGGACAAGTACTTGACTGAATGTCGTCCAGCATCGACAATAACAATGGACTCCATTTGTTGTGATTATTCGTGCTATTGTCTTGTTTCGCCGTTCAGTCCTGCAGGCCTAATCTCACCCTTTTCTTTAGAATTATTTTTCACAAAAATGGAAGAAAAAAAACAAGGAATGAGAGTATGCTCAAAATTAGGGCATATCATGTTGTGAATTTACTTTCCCTTATTACCCCTGATGATGCCGTAGCAGCCTTTGAAACGTTGATAAACTATTTATTTTGATAATAATAGATTAGATTTCATATATATATATATTGAAAATCTTACTAGAGCACAGTATACGAATAAACCTCTCTTTATTTGTGATTTCGATAGAAATAGCAACTCAGCAAACGTCTTACCTCCGCTTTGGGGGGCATGTCCCACCGCCTTCCAGAACTATGTCGCCTCGGTAACATTTCGAAACTCATCAATGATACTCATCAGTCGAATAATGTAATCACGCGTACTCGGAGTGCGCTTCTCCCGGAGAAAGTATTGATCTACTACGATTAGCGCATCTTGCATGAGCGCTCGATACTGCTGAAAAGAAACGGGCTCTTCACAAGAAGTCGATGGCATCGCCGCTAAGGAACTTGACGGAACCTCAATGACTTTGCTATCGACGACGCAATGAGAAGGCGTACTAGCTTTGCTAACAATCTCTGCTTCGTATTCAGTTCTAGAATTCGCATCCGTTGATTCCTCTGAGGGCTTTTCCGAGCTACCTACCACAATAACAGGTTCATCTTCTGGATAGAGCAGCTCGCTATCCCAATCCATCTTAGGTGTCGACCAGGGGTATTGATATCCTGGAGGATAAGTCGTGGCGACGAACTCCGGATACTTCTCCGAGGACTTTTCGCAATTGTTGAGCAGCATAGGCGCTCCTTTAGTCATGAAAAAGTTGATAATCGCGTGCGAAATGGAACCGCATGGGTCGGAATGGGTTACGTAGATCAACTCCGATCCATCATTATGCGGTCGTATATAATAGCCTGACAAAATAGACTTCGCGCGAATAAAGCCCTTCTTCACAGGGCACTTATTGTGTGTTACGGAGTGGTTAAAAATGATGAATTCACCGTTTGTGAACTCCATCCAGGAGCGCATATTGCAAAAATCACGGTTCTTTAACGGCCAAGGAAACTTCGCCGCGTAGTACCCTATATCGTTGTGAGAGTTGAGCTTGACAACGTTGCAGCTCTCGAGCATATTTGAATCCCAAACCGCACGATAGCTAGAATCGTGTAGTTGATTATATAACACATCTGGAGGAACACGCTCCATAATTCCTTTGCCTCGTATTATATTTAGTTTGCTTGTTTTATCGTCTGACGGCTTTGATTGCACAAGAATCTTGCCAGAAAGATGCGTGGTCCATGAAGGAGAATTAGATAACGCTAGATCGCGAAGCTCTCGAAAATCAACGAGCGTCATTACTCTATAAGACTCTCCTGCATCTTCAATAAATATATCCTTATTAGTCGGCATTACATTCTGAGAGTAGGAAAGAATATGTCAAAAGGAATAAGTGAATCATAGCAGAGTAAATAAAAAAGGAGGGAAAAAGAGTACCAAAAATGCTGAAATTACCTTAGTTAAAATAAACAATTGGTAGTAGTAAGCAGGAAAGTGGTTAGTACATAGTGTTCGATTTTAATCAAATAAAAAAAAGGCTAGAATTTGTTAGAATTCTGCATATATATGACCTAAGCAATAAGAATGGGACAAAACGGAAAATAAAAACAGTTTTGTGATTATTAGTGTTATGAAATTACGTACTAAACATTAAAATGTACATAACCACGTGCTAATATACATACTTTGAACTAATTTGAAAATTGCTCAGACAAAGAGTAGTGAAGCAAATAAATTCAAACAATGAAAAAAGCGATGTAGAAATAAAAGGTACTTCAAAAAGAAGCATGTCGTTTATTCCTCGACGAGAACCCCTCACCACTACGTTCAAGAGGCAAATAGGCTGGTGTCAATATCCGCTTGGCCCGTGATTCGATTCTCAATAAACCGCGTCCTGCAGTTGGCGAGCACATGAATAGACCCTTCAAAGATGTTCTCCGTGAAGACCCCCCCCGACTCCTTCGACACGTACGCGCACTGCACCCCGCAGTGCTGCACTCGGTTCGAATGCACAACGGGGCTGCTATTCTCTGTCACGCAAATGCCAAAATTCTGGATGTACTCAACCGAATTCTGCTCAATCAGGCCGGACGCGTGCCGCCGAAAACAAATCCCACACGCGGAATCCCGGATGCGATTGCTTCGCAACGCCACCTCGGCGCCGTCGACGAGGATTCCGTACACGCGGCATTCGTAGACGTCGGTGTTCTCCACCTCCCCGGTGGAACCTTTCATAAAGTAAACCCCTATCCCGCCCACGCTGCAGTGGCTTACCCGGCTATTTTTTAGGCTAAGCCGGCACTCAGCCCCCACGCGAATCCCATCGGCGCCTTCGTGGATACAGCACTCATCAATGACCACCACCCCTTTCATAATATCCACACGCCCCTCGACCTTAAGGTTGCGTAATACAACATTGGCCTCGATCGATGGGGCGATAAGAGTCGCTTGGACGATGTCTTCCTCTTCCTCAGCATTGGCTTCGCGGTCTTTTTGCGCGCTTGCCGTGATTAAAACTACATTTTTTCGGATGGGCGCTGCGGACTCATGGACGCCGGGCTGAAGCCGCAAAACATCATTGTCCTGAGCTGCTTCGAGTGCATCACTAAGAAACTGGAAATCTGCTTCCTTTGTTAGCCCCACAATGTACTCACGGGATGCCATGAGGAAAACAGAATTAATAAGGAAACCTATGTTCCACTACACAGTTATAGATTATAAGAAGTAATGAATTACAAGAAGCTTATTTCAGGTCTAAAAAGGAAATGGAAAGGGTAAAAGTTTGGATTTGATCGGAATACATTAAAAAAAATGAAGGGCTATTAAAGTGGAGGAAACATGTATCCTTTCGCTTATTGGATAGATTTCTTGAAATTAATTCCAAGAACGATGAAAAGAATTAATGTGAGTAGTTTTTGAGACGGGACGAAGGAATAGTAAATTGTGAATGTTTCCCCAAATGTAGATCAAGCACGTTCAGTTGCCTGACACGGTAAGAGTCCCCAAAATCTACATCCTCCTCCACAAAGGTCCAGCCTTCAGAATTAAGATCCATCTTAAGGTTCCTTATCATGTCGTTAGCAGACGCTAAAGGGACTCTTGAAAGGGTAGCAAGCAATTTCACTACACCTTCTGATTTACTCCGGTCAAGAAATACCATCTTGTAACGCGCAAAAAACTTAGCGGAGAGCAAAGGCGAGGGACAGACACTGCAAGGTATGAGTTCCATCTCAATCTGGAGAGTCAGTTCCATATTTTTGACTCCAATGACAGATTTTCGTAGCAAAAACAGCCCACTTGCGCTGGGTGCTATCAAAAACCCTATGCGGTAAGTTCCATGGGTATCTACAAAACGAAGAACTCCTCTTGCGACAGACTGTATCGAAGCCCCAATCGGTTTGTATCCTATCACGATCTCACTGTTTGCGTAAAACAGCTGCTTGGGGATCGTATTAACTAAAGGAAAGGGCTGTAGGTAGTAGGATGTATCAGAACCTGATTGAGCACGGGCAATACAAAACTCCGGGACCTTGAACCACGCAGCCAGGTCGCCTCGCCGATCTGTTGAGGATGGTTGAGGCCCCTTAGAAACCTTGGGATCAATGGAAACACAAATTTTCCCCTTGAAAGCAGATACAAAAGATGTATAACAGTGACCCAGGTATGAATCCGAAATTTGTGTCCCTTTTGAAGTCCTCCCATGTACTAAAAACCTAATCAGTCCAGACACCTCCTTTGAAAGTGAACACTGTCCCGATATTTCTTCAAGAACCTCATCAAGCTCCTTCAGAAAGCCATTAGCGAAACTGCTGAGAAATGCTTGCTTGAGAACCCTTTCGTCGCGCCACACACTCAATGGGGTCTGACGTAGTAAAGAGGCCTCGTAAGGCACCACACACCCGCAGGCCTCCGAGGCCTTAAAAAATGCAATCCAACACTCCACCTCATCAGGGTTGGCCTTGGCAACCTTCAAGAGCGTCTCCCAGCGGCCCACTCGAATCAGCCCGTGAAGTATGTACTTTCGTTCACGTGGTGTTTGAGGAACCTCGTCGTCATCGCCGTACATGCACGCCAATGTCTTCAGGCATTCCGGAGGAACCGGCGCGACCGCGGAGAGCGTTTGAAGCGCGTTTTGCCAAGGGGAAGAGGGCGGCATGCCGCATATCATAAAGCATAATAGCCGGTGAACCTGAGCCGGCATAACCGACCTCATGAGCGCGTACGTGGAAAGTGCCTCCTCCCACCGGTTCGCGTTGCGCAACGCGTATATGGTTTGAAGACAGGCTTCCTTCAGAAACCCATCCCCCTCCTCACTTTGCGGAATGTTCGAGGCGGCTATTAAATCGATCACCTGATTGTAGTGATACCACTTGCCAGAGCGCCGTAGCATTTGGGCAAGCGAGGCCGCCACCATGAGGTTGTGCGTCCCATCCCGTAAGTCATACTCGCGAATGAGATCAAAAAATTCTTTTTTCCTGTCCGCATCGCTCAAGAGGCGAAGTGTTGTAGGGAGCTGCCTACGCCAAGTAGAATCTGCGAACGAAAGAGAGGAATTGATCTGAGCAAGCGCCGCCTTCCAATTGGCACCCCTCTTTCCCGTTAGTACATCCCCATGGGACTCCTGCAACTCTGCAAACACGGAAGGATCTTTATGGAATAAAATTTTTTTTAGAGCAAAATACGCCTCCGGTCCGCGCATCTCAGTAAGCCAATAAATTGCTTTTTTATACCCCCACGAAGTGTCCCCAACGATAGCTAAGGTTTCCGCGCTAAGGGACCCACCCGCGTAATCCAACGCCCGTTCTGCGAGGGCACCCCCTCTCTTTTGAATTTTCATGAAAATGTCAGCCAACAGCACAGACATTCCAAACACACGGATGTTTGGAAAAGCTTCCTCCATTTTGATGCTGCTTTGAAGCAGAATACGTAATGAATTCACATCTCCCTCCGTCTCTGCCTGCCTTCCGGTGATGAAAAAGAGTGAAGGTGGGCTTCTCTGCGGCTGCTGAGATATCGCAGAAACTACTTCCCTGGTAGATTGTGGTGAATTCTGAAACAAACTCTTTGCCCAACTAGGTCCCAGTGAACGCAACCGCATTACAAACGAGTTATCGAGTCCATTGGCTGATGATTGGCCAGTTGTGGATAAAAAGTGGTAAACCCAGTCATAGCTGTAAAGTAAAAGTAGAATGGAGCTCGCAACCAAGCGCTGCTCACTTTTATTAGTAGCATTCCGCATTTTACGCACGGATTCGCTAAGAAGACGTGTGGAAGTCAGCTGCGCCTTGGTATCAATCCTATGCCCAACCTGCATGCCAGAAAGAACATAAAGACTCAGTAATTGCAGAAATGCTTGATACTGAGGCAGCGACGTGAGCTCGGTTGACGTCTCTTGGAAGATTGGACCTAGAGCCGAATACGTCAGTTCCTTACACTCGAGGTATTTTCTGCTGTAGTACAGTATAAAAGCGGTATATACCATATTTTGTACAACTGCTTCGCCTCCAATATGAGATGCGGAGAGAACTTCCAGGGCCTTCTTCCATAGCATTTCTACAGCCACAGATCTCCGATGCGCTGGATGAGAAAGAAATGTACTGAAGCACTTCAATGTGTTCAAACACACCGTGTTATCCACACTGTTCGGATTTGAGTACACTTCATTTTCAAAAAATTTTAGCTGTTCCTTCCATAGCGAGTGCGAGATCGGTGGAACGTGTTCTATCGTCTTCGTAGTGACTTCGAGTTGAGGCCGAGAGGGGGGAATAGAAGTCGGATGACGGCCAAACAATTGAAAGAACTCCGTGCTGAAATACCGAGAAATCGAAGGGTTCACATGGGTCCAGATGAGGACATCATAGAATCGGCGCATTAATTCACGTACTATTCGTAGCAAATGAAGGATAAATAGTCAAAAACTATATAGGGTAAACCTTTATTCTACGATTGCATACACCCCATGCATATAAAGAAAATACTGAGAGCATTCACAAATCAGCTCTCCTCCTACAACAAAGTGAATAATAATAATAAAAAGATATTATTGATATATCGCAGTTAACCAATTGCGCAAATAAATACATTCAGCCAGACATCTGTCCTTTGATAAAATATCAAAGCAAAGACGTAAACAGGTGAAACTTCGAAGAAATAAAATTATAAAGGGTAAAAAAGTATTCCCTGTGATTTGTTATATTCGACACTAAAGGCTTACTTATACACTCACGAAAATTAAACGGAGCTACAAAATTAGAAGCTCTATAGTAACACTGCAATGTGTGAATAGGCAAGTGTGAAATAAAAAACATTAAAACAAAGTCTCTAAGGCGGAGTATAATATTAGGTATGATAATAATGAAAATAAATATTAAAATAAAGCCTAATTATACACCTATTTAAACTATGATTCCCCCCTCATTCCCTCCTCATATCATAAAAACATTAACGTCAATCCTACGATTTTTTCTAGGTCTGACCGAAAGGTCTTTTTGAAGGTGTTTGGAAAGATGGCATCAATTCCTTCTTATCCAATATTCACAATGACATCGCTTATATAATAATACTTAAAAGTTAAATCTGTTTCAATAAAAATATGAACACGTCAAATATATTTCATAATCAAAACAATTGGATACTAAGTCAATATGGGTGCCGAAATGTTCTGTATTCGTTTTAAATTACTTTAGGTAAAGATCCAATGGGCGCTTCGGAGCTATCAGGTACGGTAACACACGATGCATCCTTTTTAACTTCATGGTTAGCTGGTGAAGTACTCGTACTGGTTTCCCCCGCCTCAGATCTTACGTTCGACCCGTCAATGTTGCCGGTGTTAGGTGCCGTGCTTTGCTCTGGGGTCAATGTGCGCGTGACCGGCGTCTTATCCTTATTCACCCGCCTGGCCCCCTTCTCCATCAACGTGTTGTAGTAGTCGGGGGTGACGGAGACGCCTGGAGGGCAAAAAGGGATCCCGGGCGGCAGCTGCGTGTCCGGCATGAGCATCCGCATCGTCGTCTCCACGGCGCCGACGCCGGGCCAGGGCATCACCATCGGCTGCAGCCCCGTCGGGCAGGTCGTCCGCAGCGAGGACGGGGGCTGGAGCTGGGGCCCGGGCCCCCGCTGTGGACCCGTGCAGGGGAACATGGACATCCCTGTGACAAAGGCCGGCTGCTCCTGAAAGGGCGTTGGCTGGGTAATCGGGGGGGGCGGGGGCTGCGCCGAGAACGAGGTCCCATAGGGCTGGAGCGACGTGTAAAGCATTGGGGAGCTGGGGTGGTAGTGCGGCAGCAGCGACGGCGGGACCTGTGGCTGGTTCGGGTTCACGGAGGGCGTGAACCACACCGGGGGCTCCTGCAACGCGGACGGCAGGATCTGCCCACACGAGGTGCTAATGTACATCGGGCACTGGCTGTAGTAGTTATAGGGCAGGTGTGGGGACTGTGCCGGGAGCGTTGGCTGCGGAAGCACCTGGGGAGAGACCCCGGAATGTATACCGGGAACGTACTTACTGGGTGCTGGGGCGAGGGAAGGCATCGAGACTCGCCTTGTATCGCCACTGGTCATCATAGGGGGCTCTGATACATCATTGGGTTTGCACTCAGTCTCCATGCCTGTGATCCTTCGAAATAATAAATTTTACAACCTATATATATTCTAAACCCATTTACAAACTTTGAAAAAAAAAAGTATTACGAGATGAAAAAATCTAGAGTGTTTACTTGAAGCTATCCAATAAATGCACACGTATGAAGCAAAAACACTGACATTGAATTTGATCCCTTAGTAATAAATATTAATTTCGTATGTCACACACATGTAAAAAATAATGTGCTCGCTTTGATTAATGCCACATGGAATTCTTGGTTTCGAAGGATGAAAAAAACATAATAACCATTATGAAGTTAGGCGCCTCTACATCACACATGCAGTTTTCTGTGGAGTCTACCGACGAAACAGCTAAAAAGTCAAAGGCGGTAAAAATGTGCATCTGTTCCAAAATTCTAATATCGTTGTGGCTAAAACAAGGTTCGTTGAATTTCTTCCATGGAAAATCGGTACTCCGTGTTGAATGACAAATGCTATGCGTTGCCGTTGTAATTAACAAGGCAAGCTTCTCAATAAGAGCTCTACTCATAAAAAGCTCAGGAGAAACCATCCCTAAACAGAGCACACACACACACTGAGCCACATCTGCGGCATGAAACGAGTTATGATAGCGGTTTTGGAAATCGTTAGTCTCAATTAATGCACTAAAATCCCACCGACGCTGCTTTGTCCCCGTTGATTTCTAGAAATTTCACAGTTCTATGAGTTCCTTGCGGAAAGTTTGCAAAGTAGACGACACCTCTTTCAAAGAACGCACGACGCCATAACCTCCGGTCCAACAAATCCAGTGCCTGGGGAAAAAAACTAAGTGGAAGATATCTTTCGAACAACGTAGCACATCAGGCAGACAATAGTAAATTGGCACACGCAGTTGGCGACCTCTCGAAATATGCTCTGATTCAGGGGATACTCTGCCTTAAGCTCGCCACGAGGGTAGTAAAAAGAAGCTTGATCATGAAGCTCCCCATGATTTGTATTCTTCGGAAGGTATTACTCTCTCGGAATGGTGTGAGTCTTGTTTTTTTTTCCTCTATGAGAAGTTTTCAACTTTTTTGTTGCAAAAATATTTTTGCATGGACGTCAAAGTTTGTTCAGACATCTCAAATGCCTTTTTTAAATGTGTGTTAGCCTTTTGGATTATGGAGTTCCAAAACCTTTTCATCAAGAACAGAAACGAGTGACACCTTTTCTTTGTTTCTCAGCAAATCAAAATTCAGGCTCCCCTGATGTACCCTCAAAAATGCTTGAATAATGCTTCTCAGGTGGTTGTTCTCAGTTTCGAATTCGGCAATCCTTTCTTGATCATTCATCGCCGCATTCTAAATTTCTTTTAGTTCATCCACCTCACGTTGATATATATGCATAAATTTTTTCAACTCATAATTAGAACTTGTTGACTCTACCTCAGGTCTCACACAATTCATACAACACTTTTTGGAAGTGAATAAGGCAAGGTGCTTCTTTCCAAGGTCGTATTCCTCAGTCTGCTAAATTAAAGAGAATTGCAGTATTTAGTATCCAAGCGTGTGATATATCAAAATCGCGAAGTGAAAACATCTAGCGTACGACAACAATCTCTGCTCTCAACTTTTATGAATTAATTTTGATCAATAAAAAGCAAGCAGATTTATTTGTTAGACACTATAAAATGTACTTGAGAAACCTCTAGAGGCCCTAAAAGTAGCAAAGGCATAAAATGAAGAAAGAAAAATAGCAGATTATCATTACCTTTGTTTGCTTCTGAATAATGAACAATGGAATTCACAGCGTTAGATATTTTATGAAAAATTTTAGATATTTCTTTTCTGATGTTGTGGTCTAAACGTTTTCTGTCCCATAGAGGAATAGTCCCTCCAAAAGAGTAGAAATGCAAACAGTGAAGATGAAAGGAAACACTGAACGAAACAGTTTCATACCAAGGAGGAAGGGAAAAGGGAAAACCAGAATATCTGAAAGCGCCATCGCAAAGTAGGGCGATAACACTGTGGGTAAGAAAGCGGATGAGGGGGGGATGAAAAAACACTAACACTTTAACTCTCTAATTCATATTGAGTTGTCTATTCAGTTTTGCACAGGAATTCGTGATTGTTTCATCAAATAATCCCTCTGTTAGTTTCATTTGTGGATCAAGCTAAAAGGAGGGGGGGGAGGGGGGAAGAGAGGGAAGGAGAGTGATTGCGGTATACACATATCGTGTGAAGTGCTTTACAAAATAAATTAGGGTAGTCATTGTCACGAAAAAAAAAAACGCCCCGGATTTTTGGTATTAATTACCCTTTAAATTGATACCACTGTTGAATCCAGACGTCCTGTAGGTTCAAGGATTT